TGGAGAAACAAATTTCACTTATTCAGAAAATTGTGTTTTTGTTTGTTTGAAGCAGGCTCCATGCCCAGCGTGGAGCCCAACATGGAGCCTGGACTTATGACTCTGAGATCAAAACCTGAGCTGAAATCAAGAGTCAGACACTCAACAGACTGAGCTACCCAGGAGGCCCTAGAAAACTAGTTTTAACAAACCAACTTATTTGCTGATTATGTTGTATTAAAGTACTATTACCAGAAATAAAAGAATTTTCAATTAACAAAGCTAGCAGAAACTGAACCTTTCTATGATTAGTATGTAATGTGGAAGAAGAGTTAAATGTTTTTACAAAATGAATGACATTACTAGATATACAATGTGACATAAAACAGAATCTTGATTTAATTAGCTACAATATTTTTAGACCTCAACTGAGAGATACCTCTGTGTGGTCCTAGAAAATAGTTCTCAGTAATCATTTAGAGTCTTTTCCCCTCAATATATATACGGGGAAATGAAGCTGAAACTGTGCTTCATATTTATAAGAATATGTAGTCTAGGGATAAAAATAAAAATATACTCATTCTGCATCATAATGTGCAAGGAAAACTTCAGCCCATCTCTCTTCTACAGAGCAAGACATCTACAAATCAATCCCAAATCAAAGACTATTTTTAAACAAAGGCAATTCTCCAATTTCTTGGTTACATTTAAATGTCTAACAAATCTCATATATAAAAGACAATAATTCTTATATAAACACCTTAAATCCATTTTGCTATTGATTGAGAGGGTTAGGTATTAAGATATTGTAAAGATTAACAAGCATACATTTATGGAGTACTTTGGTATGTTACAATGGAAAAAAGATGAAGATGTTTTATTGTAGGTTTTTGACATACCAATATTTTGCAAACATATCTGCACATTTCTTCTAGTACCTGCAAGCCTTTAGTATCTGTTCATCTACACTAACATTCCTCAATACTTAATCCTGCATTCTTTCCTAACTGCATCTTTTCCTGCAGAGGTTATGATGCAAGATGTCTAGAACTATATCAAAATTCAAAAGCTTTCTTTTTTTTTTTTTTTTTTATTTTAAAATTTTTTATTTATTTATAATAGTCACACAGAATGAGAGAGAGAGGCAGAGACATAGGCAGAGGGAGAAGCAGGCTCCATGCACCAGGAACCTGACGTGGGACTCGATCCCGGGTCTCCAGGATCACACCCTGGGCCAAAGGCAGGCGCCAAACCGCTGCGCCACCCAAGGATCCCAAAAGCTTTCTTTATAAATCAGTTCAGTGTTTTATTTTTACTTAGATGTTTGATTTTAAGTATCACTGCTTTCTACAATCTCCATTTCATACCACGGTTTGTGGCTTTTTCTATTATTGTGTTTATTACTTACTACTGACCCTAATGAACTACCCATGGCTGGTGTAGCACTGACCCAGCAGGAAAGCAAAGGTGGCTGCTTTGATGAGAATTATTCAATAAAGAGAGAGCAGGAAATCTCTTTCTATTTTAGCTAATTCATGTAAGTGTTTCTTTCCATTAACATGGGTTAATAAAAACTAACTATTGCAGCGTGTGGGTGGCACAGTCGATTGAGCATCTGACTCTTGGTGTCTGCTCAGGTCATGGTCTCAGGCTCATGAGATGGAGCCCTCCTTTGGGCTCCACGCTGGAATCTACTTGGATTTTCTCTCTCTTCCTCTGCCCCTCCCCCCATGCTGTCTCTCTCTTTCTCTAATAAATAAATCTTTTTCTTTTAAACTATCTTTACAAAGAGTTACTTTGAAAAATATAAATTCTTAGGAATAGGAAAACACTGGATACACTATCTCATTGTAGAAGGAATTTTTGAAAACTATTTTCAATTATTTTGTTTCTTATAATTGCTTACATAATTTTAACACTTGTAATTCTGGATTGTGTGTACTCCGTGTGAAATAGAAAGAAAAAAAATGAAATGCAATATTTAGGATAGTAAGAAAAGAGAAAAGGAATATATTGCGGGAGCTTTAATGGTAGGGATGTTTCTGCTTTGTTCCCTTGCAGAGTCAAGAGGGGCAAGGAGAGAGAAATCAACTGTCTATAATGTGGATAGTCTTTCTGGGGAGCCCTTGTATTTGCTTCTTTTAAATATTTACTCAGTATATAGACTAGGAGCCCAGTTTTGACCTTGCCTTTCATCCCAAGGCACTAATTACCAGTGTACTAAGTTGAGACTGAAGCCATAATTGAAAGATGCCCTTATAGATACTTTTGCTTTACAGCTTCCAAAAAACAGTAACTATCACTATTTCATAGGTATATTATAGAAGGCAAAAAACGATCTTCAATGTCCCTATAATAACCTCATGCCAGAGACATGGATTCTTGCCAGCAAAATGACAGGATCTTTTTCATCTAGTACCATTTGGGTACAGGTGGTGGCATCAGGGTTAGAAAAACCAGGCTAAAACCATGCTGTGAAACAGTGGTATGCTGGAGCCCCATCATATTGGCTTGTGAGAACTGGCTGAATTTTTATTATTTGCAAGCCAGGTGATGTTACATTGCTTGAAATAGGTCGTGGTGGAAGCATTCATATTTATATCATGGCCACTGAGAGCTAGTTTGCCAACAGGCCATTGTGTAAATAACAGAAGTAACTGGAACAGATTCCTGGTTCTGTAATTTACTCTATGTGACCACAGGAAAAGTTACATCATTTCTCTAGATCGATTTTTTCAACTGGTAAAATTATAAGTACTCCATCTCATGTGAGGAACTAAAGATGAAAATAAGGATAAACTACTAAGCAAACAGACTCTAACAAGCAAATATTAAGTACTCTATCAATGCTAGTACTAATTTGTCACACACTGATAGTTATATTACTTTGTCCTGAAATTTCAAAGCAACTTTAATGGAATACAGAGAAGCAAGGGTCCTAAAAAAACAAACAAACAAACAAACAAACAAAAAAGGCAGGGTCAGCTATTTCATAATAATTATATGAAGAACAAATGTGCTTTTTTGTTCACTCTTCCCCAGCTACCCTCAATACGAAATTTCTAACTCAGCATACACTTAATTTACTTGACCTGTAGAAGGGATCACAGAACTAAAAAGTATTAGAGAAGTATTATGATGCCAAAGAGCCCCATGTTTATGGTAAATATTAACCCTATTTTACAAATGTAGGGCCCAGACTCAATTTGTGAACAGCATCCCCTAGAACTGCATAATACAGTGGCCCTTTAACAAAAGCTATAGAAGCCACCAGACCTTGCAACCAATCAGGAATCTCAAACAAATAGCAAGTACAACAGCCCAAACAGATGTTTTACTTGAGGTCAGAATTTTTTCTTCTTTCCTAAATTCTGAGTGTAAATAAATGCCTTTAAGAGATCAACCTAAGCCCACTACTCCCCATTTCTTACATCCAGTAAAGTCTGAAGAGAAGCAAGCTTCCAAGAATCCTCTCTGAATGAAGTCACAAAGGATACAATTAATTTCTCCAGCAACTGAATTCTAAGAGTCACCGCCAGGTAAAGAGTGGTCTAGGCATCCCTGGGTGGCGCAGCGGTTTGGTGCCTGCATTTGGCCCAGGGCGCGATCCTGGAGACCCAGAATCGAATCCCACATCGGGCTCCAGGTGCATGGAGCCTGCTTCTCCCTCTGCCTGTGTCTCTGCCTCTCTCTCTCTCTGTGACTATCATAAGTAAGTAAAAATTTAAAAAAAAAAAAAAAAAAAGAGTGGTCTACCAAGGAAACTTGTTAAGGTTTTTTATTGGGGACTGGTACATAAGCACCCCGATGCCTAACACGTTCCAAAATTCAACACTCTCAAAAGGAAAAGAGATGTTCAATGTAGACACTGCACAGTTTAGGCACAGCAAGCTACTCTTATCATTTACGTAAAGCTTTATTTCAGGGTAGGAAACCGTTTACCAGTCAAGTTCCCAGATACCAGGCAAAGGTTAATCTTGCAAGCAGAACTTTTTAAGTCAGCAGTCTCCAGCCTGCTCTGTCAATTCCATTTGCACGCACACGCCTACCTTTAATTTTCCCTGACAGCCAGAGGGTAGACTTGTCCCAAGGTCTTTACCCAACACCCCAAAGCCTTCCTTGTCTCACACAAAAGCTCCCCATTTACCCACCGCTAATTTTACCCACTGCTCCAGTTTTATTAACAGGTTAAGAAAATAATTCAAAACCTTTATCTTATCTAGCCAAACAAAAGTTGACTTATTTTCCCAATGTTATTAAATACCACTCTACCGATCAGAACTTCTAGTTAGCATGAGCTAGCCTGGATCTACACTGAGATATGATTCCAGCCTGAAGGTAGAAAACAAATCACTTAAGCTGTCCCCTGACTTTATCACATAAATATATAATTTCCATTTGACTGCTGGAAATACTGAAAATAGTTCAAGGACTTTGATTACCACCCTGAAGACTCTTCCTCTCATCTCTCACTACCAATCTTATTCAACAAAGTACAGAGTGCAAAGCCAAGTGGATCTGGTATCTAGGTTTCCTGGGGTAGTCAGCCCAGGAAGCAGGACACAAAGTGCACCAGCTGTCAGTTTTCCCGCATAAGGGTGCCACTAAAGATCCACTTCCGACCCACTGGTGAGGATGCCTCTGACCCTTAACAGCTTTCAGCATTCTCTTATCCCAGCTGCCTCCAGTCCCCAGGAAGCACTGCACTCTTTCCTGCAAAGGTCCAGAGCCACAGAAATCTGATATTCTGAGTAAAGCCTGGAACCAGAATCTGAAATTTTTTTTTTTTTTACAAATATAGTTGTTTCCTGTCACATAGATCCTGACTAGTGCAAAGTAGTTTACAAACAGGCTATGGCACTCACCTGGAGATTTCCTATCACACATTTACATGTTCAGGAAGGAAGTTAACTATAAAACATAAATAACTGAAATATGTTTTAAAGTCTTTTTTTATAAGATTGTAAATAATTGCTTTAGTTACATAAAAAGGAAATACCACTACTGAAGTAGTGTTTTACCTGTTTAAGAAATCGGTCAGATGCATTGCTGTGTTTGGCTAACACACTTGGCAGAGATGGATTTGCATATTCAAACTGAGGATTGTAGGTATAGTCAGATTTGAAGAATCTCAGTTTCTCTTTCTCCAAGTTGGTGGGCTTTATAGCAGTCAGTATACAAAATTTCTTCCCAGAAAAGTCATCTCCTTTTTCAAAACTTCTAGACAATTGAGGCTGCGGCTTTGGCTTTGGCAGAGAAGAGAAATGGCGTCGCTTTACCTTGTTTTTGGGTTTAGGTGGCAGTACTATGCTGCTTCCTGTAACAGAGATATCAGGTGTAAACTTTATAGGACTCGACACTGAACTAGTGACAAAAACACCAGGCTGCCTTTCCAGGCAGTACCAAGTACCACTGCTCATCACAGGCACTGGGGCTTTCATCTTGCGAAGATCTTTACTACGAGAAGAACTAGGAGATTTGCTGGGTTTTCTACATCTTTTGGAGTAGGTGGAGGAAGACTGTTTTTGTGAATGATGCTTTTTTTCCTCTTTGCTCTGTAGTAGGACATTGTAACTACTGGTTCCAGTTGTGAAAATGTCCTTCAGTATTCCAGAAGATAAATGTGAAATGCTTCTTTTGCTGTCAATGATCAATGACTCTTCTGCATTTAGAACAGACTTCTTAGCAAGTTCTTGCTCAGGCCAGTGAAGCTTTTCTGTGTTAATAAACAAAATCAAAACAAAAGAAATAACAAAGATACCAGATGAAGCAAACTGCTTATTATACAAAAAGTATTCTGAAGGTTCTGTAAACTTTATAAAATTTGCAACAATCTTTAGAAAAGACATTTTAAATATTAAAAAATGTTACTAAAACTTTGGTCATGCTAGACATTGTCACTTCTATATAAGCATATATGATGAATTATCTATAAAAATCCTCAGCTTCATACCATTTAGATGATCAAAGTTTAATATTGATATGAGATAGCATACATACATAATTTGAATACTCAACTCTACCAAAGAATATGCTTTCACAGAAAGGATACAATTTTCAATAGTATTACCAATACCAAAGTAAAATCCAAGGCATTTTCAAATCCAACACAATCTTGAAATTGGGTGCTATAAAGATAGCGAGCAGTAAGAGAACACTGCCTTATTTACCACAAAAATAATTTTTAAAATTAAATAAATGATATGTGTATGTTAAAATATGTTTTAGTAATGTCACTCGATTGGTTGATTTAAAGAGGTACAAATCACTTAGTATACTGATGCTCATGCACTACTTTAAAGCTGTGTTGACTTGCATTCTTTCATTCCACAAATACATGGAATACTACTAATTAGGTACATGGCTTTGAGAAGCATCTTTATAAGTCCATTGTTTTGGCTTTAACCAGCTTCTAATCTGGCTCTGGAAGCAAGGCAGTCCTATGAAGATTTGAATAATAATACAAGGTAGCATAAGTTGAAATGTGAAAAACAGAAAATACATCAATAAGCTAGGGATCAGAGAAGAAAACAATGTGAAGAGAAATAGGTGAGATTGTAACTAGACCTTTAAGAACTTTCAGATTTAAGTCTAAACTGACAAAGTGAGTTTGTCTTAAACCCTACTCATTAGAACTAGGTTCCAGCTCAAGTCCTGTCTACAAATCTGACTTCTGGCCAGGTCTGCTTATAAACCTTTCCTAAGTACTTTCTGCAAATGACATATGATTCTTTCAACCAGTTCTTTTTTCCAAGTCTCATGGACCCTTATGGCTCTAGCCCCCAATCTTTGACTCCTATTATTAAAGGATTTTCAATGCTAGCTGACTTGCACAGATGCCTGCCTAGAAACAATTTATTTTATTTCAAATTTTTTGAAGACTTTATTCACATATATCTGTCATTCACTCATTTAAGATTAGACACTCAGGGATCCTTTCTATAATAAGCAGACATAAATAATAATAATAACATATCAATTGTTGACACATGTGAGTTTGGGATTTCACAGAAAACTGTACATGTTATATCACTTAATTCTCAGAAATGTTAATTTGCTCAAGGTTATATGACAGAGTAATGAACTGCAAACTGTTTTGAATGCATGTGTATGTGATTATAGAGTCCAGGCTTATTGTCCTTTATATGGCCATTCAATTATCAACAGATATTTAATATTATGTCTGTAGAGCAGCACTGCCTCTTTTCTTCCTCCATACAGAACATAGAACCTAATAAGACATGGTACTCTAAATAACTGATATACTTACTAAGACAGGTATCAAAACTGTTTTATTCATCTCTTCCTTTTCCACATCTAGCATGGATCTGATAGACATTCAATAAATGTACACTGAATGAATGAATGAATGAATGGCAGACCCTAAACATGTCACTCTCCAACCACTGTGGATAAACAGGTTATTTGTAGTTCTGGGACCATTCTACAGTTCTAAATCACTGCAGAAGTATAAATAAAACAGGGAAAACCCTGAACCAATGGTTCTAAACCAGAGGCAATGGTGCTCCCCAGGGGACACATGGCACTGTCTGGAGACATTCTGATTGTCACAACGAGGGTGGGTGTTACTGGCATCTTGTGGGTAGAGGCCAAGGATGATGCTAAATATCTTTTAATGCACAGGACTCTGACAACAAAAATATCTATCCTAAAATAGTGCTATGGTAATGAAATCCTGCCCTAAACATAAGTTGTTAAAGCTTAGAAGTCGTAGGGTTTAGGATAAAGACCTGGTAAAGTACCAGGTCAAAAATGGATAATAATCCAAATATGTAAGGTACTTAAAAGTCCTTCCAGTTAACATTTTCTAGGCCAAGATGTGAAATTTGCATTTTGGTGTCTTGAAGATAAAAGTGTAAATTTGCAGGGGCTAAATGTCTACTACACGTATAAGCTGAGAGGCAGGAGCTAGACTGCACAGGTTAATGTTGAAGGTTGACTACACAAAGAAGCCATTCAATAAATGGAAAAAAAAAACCAGCCAAAAATAAACATAACAAACAAAACTTTCATTATGGGCCAGTAGGTCTCAGTTCTTCAGGGATTTCAGACTTAAGTGTTGCCAACTGATAGTTCACATTGGGCAGGCTGAGCAAACACAGGCTAAGGAACACCAGAAGCCAGGCTGTAGCCCAACGCCCATGAACAATGTCAGTCTCCCTAAAAAAATACAACTTTACGAGACAAGAGGTCATTAGGAAAGAAAGACTGAAGTGGACACTAAAAGGGAAAGAACAAGAAAACTGAGATAAGACTAAGGGCATCACAAACTTGGAAAAGTCATGTGAGGAGTAGGTACAGCCAGGAAGGTAAAGGGAGGTAATCAGGTTCTTTCTCATTTAGTCTTCATAATAAAAAGGGAGAAAATTACACCAAATTAAAATCAGTGAATAAAACTATGCTAAAGAATTCCTAATTTTGATGGCTTATTACATGTATGTTGATTTTTTTAAAAAAGATTTTATTTATTTATTCATGAGAGACACAGAGAGAGAGACACAGGCAGAGAGAGAAGCAGGCTCCACGCAGGGAGCCTGATGCGGGACTTGATCCTGGGTCTCCAGGACCATGCCCTGGGCCGAAGGCAGGCACCAAACCGCCAAGCCATCCAGGCTGCCCATGTTGATTTTTCTTTTTTTAATGAATATTCAGTGTAAAAATGCTTTCTTTGGTTCCTAAGACTTAGTGGCTCTATGACCACAAAGCCCAACTCAAGAGTTCTTTTTTCACCATAAAGCATCAGTGACCTCTAAATTCAGAATTCTGTTCCACCTCAAACAACCTATACACTTCAGGATACTTAACAAAAGTCTTGAACCACCTGCCTAAGCCCTTGATGGGGAGTGGGAGATGGAAGAGAGGTGACAGTGTATGCAGGACAGACCCTTTTCCCCCAGGAGTCATAGCATTTCAGCTCACTTGCTAATTATCTACCTGAGAGGTTTACCATCAGTCCTTTTTAAGCTCCTTCTGCTGATGAGTAAGGTTTGGGAGTGCCAATAGTGTATTTATTTAATAAAATGCCAATCCTGCCAAATGCTGATCTCCCATGAAGTCTGTGAAAGTGGGACTCAAGTCCGTAAAAGGTGATCAAATAACTCATACAAGATGAATATAAATTAATTTCTTAGAGTCACACCGATCTTGCTGCAGTTGCATTAAAATGTACTATTAGACAACCTAAAGTGTTGTTCTTTTATCATTTTAACTATTCTTTAAGAAAAAGTAACTTTTAAACATGCATAAAAACATAATAAAAGACCAATAAAAAGATTTCATTGAAGAACATCCTATTATTCTTTTTCCTGGAAAATCAAAATTTGTTAAAAACATATGCAGGCTTCTTTGGGGGAAGTGTACTCATGTTCTTCAGAAAAGGAATAAGGTAATCGATCCTACTTTCATATATTAAAAGTCACTACGTAATGTGACATTTTAGCCATCAGCAATGTACTTCACTATAACCTTAAACAAAAACAACTTGATCAAAGAAATCATTCACCCCAACAGGATCACCCTTATGGGGGGGGAGGGGAAATAATATTACATTAAAATGGATACTCACTATATTCACAAGTAGGTGAATATACTGAAATTACCAACACAATGAAAGCTTAATTTGTATCTAGAACAGGAGAAAAGGATACCAGGATTCCTGGCTACTATTCCCAGCTCTTTCAATGACCTCTCTGTAATATTAGTCTAATCATTAAACCCATCAGTGCCTCATGTTCCTCATCTAAAGGAATGGGAAAGAGACTCACTCAACTTTGTTTTTCACAACTGTGAAGAGATGAAGTAATTATGAGGTCTCTATCTGAAAGGAAGATTAGCTCACCAGAAACAAAGCCTGGTGGAAAATACCATTCAGCCAATTTTGACCCACAAAATGGCAATTTCATACAGTTCACTAATATTTATGAAACCTGAGAACCTGGCATAATTTTACATAACAAGAGGACAGGTTGCATTACAAAGAGAAGGAAAAGCAAAACAATATAGTTCCTGAATAAAATAAACACTTTATCAAGTAGTTCATCACTTAAAATTGAAATGATATAACATCAACAGCAGAAAAAATAAATTGCGGTAATTTGTATAACAGAATGCTATATTGCAATGGAAAAGCAGCTGAAGTTGCAAGAAACAATACAAATGAATATCAGAGAATACTGCATAAACAAAGCCAGATCAAAAGAGTACATATCATACAATTTCATTTTTATGTAGTTCAAAAACAGGCAAATCTAATTCATGGTATTAGAAATCAGAATAGTGGTTATCACTGAGGGATGGGTTATAACCTAGGAAGAGTCACCAGGGTACTGGGTGCTAGAAATGTTCTATATCTTCTTCTAGGCAGGAGTTACATATGCACAAATTCATTGGGCTACGCTTTTAAGACTTGTGAACTTTACTGAATATAAGCTACACCTTAATCTTTTAAATGGTGTATGAAAAAATCAGTATCTTTGAAAACATATTTATGGCCCAATTTGTCTGCATTATAACAAGTAACCTACTAAATTTAACATCTCTAAATTCAACGGAACCCAATATAGTTTCTCAATTGTAAGTTAAAGGGGGGGCGAGGGAGGGAGGGAGGGAGGGAGGGAGAGAGAGAGAGAGAGAGAGAGAGAGAGAGAGAGAGAGAGAGAGAGATGAAAAGGCACTGCTCATATCATTCAGGAACAG